CCTAATCTACCCTGGTGGCCAGTGTGGGGAATCCTCCTTATAGCCTCCCTCCCCTGCGGCCTCTGCCTTCACCCCTCCAGCGGTGGGGAGCAAGCGACACCTATGCAAGGTGTCAGGCCGCATGTGCTGACACTGAGCTCGGCTCGGCTGACGTCCTCGCTCTCTGCCCTCTGGGCCCACGGAGCTGATCCATCACTCTCTTGAGGCTGTCCGTCAGCTCCTTTCTTCCCTCTGGTGTCCAGCCTTCCCTGCCCTCACGCGTGACCTCCGCTGTTCCTCAGCAGTGCTCTGGGAAGCAGAGGGAGGACGGCAGTGCATCACAGACATGCCACGGGCAGCGGAGAGGGAATGTGACGTAGCGAGGAGCTGGGCCCAGGTCTCCTGCGTCCAGGCTTGCCGTTCCCTCGACAACATCGCTCGGGTGGCCAGTTCGGTTCCCAGTTCCTCACTCCCAAAATGGCACTCCGGGGGGCTTCAAGTGTCCTCTCTACTAACTAACACTTGGGGAGTCTCTCCTCTACGATTCCTTCCTGTGGCTCCCCTGGCTTGGCCTTTGTGGCTCCAAGGCAGCTCTGCCTGACTTCTCCCCCTCTCCCATCCACCGCAGGGATCGGCTGCAGGCTCTGAGCTCCCACGTCATATCCAGTTACCGGCACCTCCACCCCGACTACGGGGGGCTGGTCCTCAGGGACAGCCCACATTCACAGCGTCTGCTGTCTGCAGCTTGCTTTCTGAGCAGTTGGGTCTCCAACTCAGTGTGCCAGGGGTAAGATGACAGTCAGAAATGGACAATGGGCTTCTTGGGTTGCCTTCTGACGTTCCGTCTATAAGACAACCCCCAAGATCTGTCCACAGAGGATTCTGGAAAGGGTTTTGAAATCCTTGCTAGGAGAGGGCTGTGTCAACACTGCCCAGTGCTAAGTATCTGGGATCCTTTCAGCCACAGCTGCTGCCCTTGGGAAGCTCTCCCACTGAAAGATATAAGGCTGAGGGACCTGCAAATGTACACGTACATCATAACCAGCCAGGCTAATCTGTGGGTAGAGCAATGAACTGTGGATCCTGGAGGGGTGGACAGTGTAAGTTCCAAATAAGCACTGGTCAGCCAGATACAGTGGGGTGAGGGCCAGGGGAGGACGTGGGCTCTCAGCCAGAGAAACCTGGGTCTGGATCCCCACCCTGATTAGCTGTGAAACCTTGGGAAATGATACGCTCCCTCACACTTACTTTTGGTAAAACTAGAAAAAATAGCAAAACCTTGTAGGGTCGCTGTGAATATTAATAACCAGGATACTAGCATGGTCCCTGACACATGGTATTTGCTCCTCACCAAATGTTACCTTCTTTTTTTCTTCCCTCCTACGATGGGCCAGGGACCATGCCAGGTGCCGAGGGTCCCGACAAGTGAGGTACAGTCCCCGCTCTCAGGAAGCCTAGTCTAGCTGGGGAGATGCACATGTACAGCTACTAACAGAATGGGACAGGGGTCGATTAGTGTGCAATGGTGGAAATAATAGAAACAATGATGAGGACAGCAAGGGCTGATGATTTCTGATGTTTCCCGCACACACGACTCCCGGGGAGTGTCTCGCTTCACTCTCGTGACCACCCAGACAGGTGGATGCTGTTGTAGCTACCGTCCTACCCAGGAGGAAGCGGAGGCTCAGAGCCCCAAGGCCGAGAGCGAAGAAGCCTGAGGAGCGAGGGTGATGCGAGAGCACAAGAGCAATGGCTGGATCTGCAGGGCTCAGAGAGGGCCTCAGGGAGGAGGTGACAATGGCTGAGCTTTGAAGGATGCAGGCTGGAGCGGGCATTCCAGGCAGAGGAGGCAGCCAGTACAAGAGTGTGCGGGTGGATGAGCTGATTGACCCTCACCCCTGACGAGCACCCCTGGAGCTCACTGCGCTCAGGGATGCCGGTGCCACGATTCTACAGGGCTTCTCTTGCCGCCAGGGGGCGGAGTCAGCAGCCTTGACATTATTTTACTCCTGCAGTTTCCAGAAATCCTAGGTCATCGATAATCCCAGCCAATCAGCAGTACCTTTCATCTCTTCACCTACAAGAAACCTCTGGAAGACTAAAGGCATCTACTCAGATGGCAGCTTAGCCTTCATTTCATTCCACTTTTAGAGCCTCCGCAGCTTTGGTTCAAGTTTCACTGGTTCTGGGGAGCTCATCATAGCTTCACTACCAACTCTCTGGGGGCCTGGGTGAGTCAGTCTCCACCTTCTCTCTGGCCTCTGTCTCCTTCTGTGGAAAATGAAGGAGATGGGCTAGAATGGAGATTTTCAATATGTGGTTTCCAATCCAGTGGCATCAGTGTCACCTGGGAATTTGTTAGAACTGCATAGCCTTTGGCTCACCCCAGACCTACAGAGTCAGAGACTCTGGGATGGAGCCCAGCCATCTGTCTTTTTTTTTTTTTTTTTT